TCCTTGTGTGGAATCAGCTGGTCGTACATGGCAGTTGTGCCAACCGATCCAACAACTTCAGGATGGCCCAGTTCATCACTGGATTTCGAGCAGGCTGAGCTTAGACACATGCAGAGCTGTGAAATCGTGATCTTGAGAGACAGAAGACGGCACGACCTGGCTTGACCTCTTTAGGCCTTCAAGCGTCATGATCTAGCGTTGACCTGTTGCAGCAGCTCCGGAGAGCCTGCTGATCTCGTCCGCAGTCAGCTGCCTGTGGCCTTTGATCCTCTTATCCACAGAGCCCCTTTGTAACAAGTTTGCACAAAATGCAGAGCTGCTGTGGGGGCTCTCGTGGAGGCGAGATGAGCCCAGAGCGCGCCTGGGCGCGTGCAGCGGCCGTGCAGCGGCTCTGCGCCGGCTTGCCGCTGACTCCTCTCGCGCCCCACGTCTTCGGCTTCTCCGAGCCGAGCGAGCCGACCAGGCCAAGCAGGCGAAGCTGGAGAAATCTACTAAATCTACTCCCTATCTCTTTTGGTTCTGGGGGGGGAGGGGAAAAGGGGAACGGGGGATCTGGGATCCTGGGCAGGCTGGAGCCAGTCTCCCTTGCTTCTCGTGAGCGGATGGCCTGCGAGCATGTGCTCGCCTCCGCGAGAAAGGGAGATGCAGAGGGGCTGCTGAAGGCGGGGTTTCTGACAGTGCCGGTACTTCTCCCCTCTAGGAGGAGCATGCCCACTGGTCAGTGCCGGTGTCGGACAGGCATTTGAAGATTTTCACCTGCACTGTTGCCCGGCTGAGAGAACCTGAAGGACACCGTGTAGGGACTTTGGCAGAGCAGCTCTTTCCTACCTCCATCTGCTCTGCGGTTGGCTTAAAGGGCAGGTTGGTCTAGGGAGATGCTCGTGAGAAGAGTCGGCGCTGCCCTACCGGGCATCTTTTTTAGTCGCCGAGGCCGCCCGCTGCTGCACGTGGGCGAACGGAAGGGGGAGCATCTCGATGCCGCCGTGCGAGCACGGAGGCCTGCTCGCGCACTGGAGTTGGGGTCGTACCTGGGCTACTCTGCCGTCGGGGTCCCCAGACCAGCCCGGACAATCCCAGACCTACATCCCAAAAAATCTGGAGTTTCGCCTCCTATTTCCGAGGTTCGCATCGCGCGCTGCCTACCCGATGCCTGGCAGATACTTGGCAGTGCCGCCGTGTGCTGCTCTATATGAGACATCTCAGGATGGGGCGCACCTGTACTCGGTGGAGGAGAACTGCCAGAATGCCATGTTTGCCGAAGCATCAGTTGAGTAGCACAGCACATTTGGCATCGTACTTTTCACCTACGCGCGGTGCATCGCGTTCTGTGACCATAGGCATGCCGGACAAGAAGCCAAAGTGGTGGTTCTGCGGGGCACAGTGGAGTTGCTGAAGTTCGCAAGTTGCATTTATGCACCCAAGCAGAAGACATCAAGGCTTGCTGTAAGTGAAGTTGAGGCAGAGGCTCCTAGAGCTGGCGCCCTTCGACTTCGTCTTCTTGGACCACCAGAAGGCTCTGTATCTCGAGGAGATCCAGCGCCTGGAGGCCACGGCCAGTGTTCGCGTCCACTTTGATGTTTCTTCGAAGAGAGACTCCGATGGGTGCTGGCAGCGGTAACGACTTGGTGTAAGACTGCAGTTTTAGAGCTTTCAGGGAGTCACTTCAGATTCCTGACGAAGCTGGCAGGCCTGGGGGCTCATACAAGAAGGGACAGTCATTGTCGCGGACAATATCGGCGGCTGCAATCGCGCGGACTGCCGCCTCAAGCTTGCAAGTAAAGGAAGCAGGAAGAAGAAGCAGCTCTGCCCATCTCTGCCCGTCACGATTCCTCTCCTCTGTGCTGCGTCATGTTCTCTCAGGTCGAGTGACGTGCGGCTGTGCTTACGCAAACTACGTCCGGTCATCGGGCCACTACCACTCGCGCTTCTACTGGGGCTCGAGAGATGCTCGCTCCAGTTTAGTCAGGCGGCTTCCTCTTCCGGCACTTGGGCGTAGAATCTGCATCGCAAGCATGCAGCAGTGTAGCGGGTCTCACAGCTGTGGCAAGTTGCAATCTGTTCTGAGAAAGCCGCTATATAACACAGATATTACAGGCTCGCAGGTTCTCAAGTTGGCAAGGCGAAGTTACCACTCCGTGATATGGAGTAATTTTGGCCAACTATCTTTCGAGGATGGCATCGAGGTCTCCTGCGCACTCCCGAAGATCCCAGCTGGCAGGGCTGGATGTGTGGTAGTGGCAGCTCATCTGAAACCGTTGTCGTTACTGAAAGTACCGCTCTGGTGCCACGGCTCTAGCTTTTGAAATACAAAGTTTCCGTGATGACAGCGACTTTGGCTCAAACAGTTCGAGCTGGAGCGGCATTCTACAAATCGAAAGAGACGGTTCACCTGCTGAGTATCCTTCTCCATGTCTTGAAGCATGAAGATATCTAAGATACTGGAAACCACCCCAGGGTCACTGTAACACGGATCGCATCAGGCGCGGCGAGGGGTTCACCGCCTCGAGGTCCCGGCAAAACGCGCAGTCGCCGTTTCCAGTCCACGACCCTTTGGCAATCGGCAGCCGGGGATCTGGCTGACGGAGCGATCCCAGGATTGCCCAAAGCGGCTCTGGCCATCCAGGCGTCTGCGAAGAACCAGCGCGAGTGAGGCTAGCTGTGATCTAATCGGGGTGCCGCCGGAACCCGTCTCCTTGAAGTGCAAAGGCCATTTGTACTTGCAGAGAGAGGAGGTACGGTGGGGCAGGTGCAAAGATCCAAACAACTTTACTGGTCACACTCCTTTCCGTTATCTTGGAGGATCTTCAGTGAGTGCGTGGCAATTCCACGTGGCACATGGTTTCTGCACTCAAGGTAGGCAACCGGAAGTCCCGAAGGCAACATGAACGAACCAAAACTTGCCTGGCCGGAGGGCTTCGGGCCTTTTGACTCTTTGACTGTGCCTTGCTCGCTTTCCGAGGAGAAATCGGATTCGGAAAGAGATGGCAGGGTAGCGGGAGGCCGGGGAGGCTCTGGCTGCTCAAAGTTCTGGCTGCGCGGGAATCGTGTGAGTCTCTTCTCTCGAGGCAAGACGCTTTCGGATGCCTTCGACCTGCGATGCGCTGCGGGCTGGCTCCGCTTGTGTCATGCCACTGAGTGCGCAGCAAGTCTCAGCCTCTGGTTTCGGAGAAGTCTGTGGGAAGTCCCAGATGCGAGAGGACAGTCGAAAAGGTGTCGTGCTTGCTGAAGCTGCTTGCTGATTCTTGCCCCTTCTTCGCATACTGACCCTGCCACGCCAGGATTCCTGCGTCGGCCCCTACGTCGTGGATTTGGCCGTGTGTGCGAGTGCCTGCTGCTTCTCTGCTCGGGACCCCAAGACGGGAGCCGCAAAGCAGAGAAGCAAGCACATCGAATCCTGCAATAACTTTGCAGTCATGAAGCTTATTGTGTCTTGTTGTAGTCAGGAGCACATGGTGGTCGTGGCTTGAACTCCTTCATTCGTCTCTCCTTCCTACTTGTAGTAGGTTCTATATATCCCGCGCCTGTAGCAGCCGACGTGCGTAACGCAAAGGCAGCGAATGAGTTGATGGAGCCGAGACTCCGGGCCTGGCTCTTACGGCCCGGTCTTAGAAGCGGCCTGTCTCGGATTCGGGCTTTGTGGGACGCAGAGGTCTTGCTCAAGGAGTACCTCAGGCTCGAAAAGCGCCCGTGAGAAATGGCAGGATTCTGCAGATGATGTTCGTGTTGACACGGAATGACACGGAGATTGGGAGGCAGCGGACGCTTTCCCCCTTGGAGGTGCAGCATCGCACTCAGACTTGCGTTGAAGCCAAAGAGCACTCAAAATGAAAGCCTACAGCCTCGAAATATCTCGAAATCCGAAGGCAGTCCTACACCCTGAAAGAGCACTCCATGGCACTCCCGAACCTGAACCCTAAGTTTGAACAGGGATTCTCAACCCTATATAGCCTAGCAAGACGGACGTGCAAAGCCTGGACCGACCAAAAAGGGGAATCCTGAACCCTAAAGCCCGGTAGCCTAGGACCTTCCCGGACTTTATGGCTGCCGGAGCACTGGCCTGCAGCTTCTATCGCTTCTGTGAGTTGGCGGCTGAGACTTCGAGTTTTGAGACTCCAGACCTTGGGGTTTCAGGCTTCGATCCTCTTTAAGAGTTGAGGCCGTGTTATTTCTTTGGCTCACCTACAAGACTTTTGCAGATTCGGGTGCTTGGCGGGCTTTGCTCAGGTTTAACGTGCGACAGTCTGATGCCGATGCAAAGGCACCGTGTCAGAGCCGCCGTCTGCGTGGCTTGACCTCATGGCTCTGGGCAGGCGAAAGACAGCTACAAGCTCATGGCACAGAGGGTCGAGCTGCTCCTGGACGGCCCTGTGCGGAAGGAGCGTAGCTCGAGATGCTCCTTCCATCTAGCGGAAAAGCACCAACACAGCGGTGCGATGTTGCAGATTGTTGCAGGCTGTCGTCGATGCCCTGGCCGATGCGGTTGGAGCAGCTGCAGCATCATAAGTATGCAGCATTGGATCAAAAAGAGCTGCCTGCACTGGCACAGGGACTGATACTGTACCATGTCCATAACGTTACATGTACACGAGCAAGAGCTCTGTGAGATGAGTGCCTGAGTCATACTTGAGTTCACGAGCATAGTCACAGAGGCAGTAACATGTCGCGCCGACGATGATTGGGATGGCGACACTCTGTGTGACACTGACAATGAAGGCTACTTTCAAGCAAGATGCCTGCGCTGCAGTCGAACTTGATTCAGCAACTTTTTCTCTGAAATGTTGCCCTGACACCAGAGCGATCTCTTCAATATGTAAGCTCTTTCTCGAAACACAGTGACGCCGTAGCAAGCATTCATGCACGAGTGCTCCTGGCATGTCAATATGTGGTGCCAAGGGCAGCAAGAGCCTGTAAGTCGGGTCTGGAAAACAGACATAGAGACAAATAAACTCTAAATGGACGTAAACACCATCACCCACACATGCACGTACATGGCATGCGGCATGCGCACGGCAGATGCAGCTCTTCACGTCTTCCGCAGCGCTTTGAGCGTCATTCGTATCTATAGCAGGCCTTTCACTTGCCGGCGTGAACTTGCGGGCATTGCCAAATTCCCTTCACGTCAGCCTCCCAGAACTCATGGCAGAAACAGCGGCAGGGAGCTCGTTAGCTTTGCATCTTCACAGCACAGCAATCCCGACTTTCAAGCTTAGAGTGAGCTAATCGATCGCGTATGTGCTGCAAGAATTGAGCCTGGGGTGTGGAATGATCCTGCCCAAGTCTGCTCTATAGCTCCCAGCCGAACAAATCACTCGAGCTAAGTCATCACGAAGTCTGCGCGGTATCAATTCCTCATGTTGCATCGCGTCTTGCTGCGTAGAGTCTCCGAAATTGCCTGGTCATAGTGCTCAATGTGTCAAGGTGGAGCTGCCGAGAGGCAGCGTCAACTACAAGGCTGCATGAGGTGCGTTGCTGTGTGTCGTCCGTTGTGATGATGCGATCTTGCGGAGGCAAGAGTCGGTTGAGCGTGTGGGATGCCTGTCACAAGGCAGCTGAGGGCGGTGCTGCGCGGCTCCGTCCTCATTGCGCAGCTCCTCTCTGCAACGTTCTTCCTTCAGGGATGCGACGACGAGCAGGCATCTTCGGCACACTGTTTCGCCGGAACACCATGAGAGTGTCCATGGTTTGAGAGCATCGCCAACAGCTTGATGATACGCGTCAGGAGGAGGAGTCCCACCCACCCGCGGCGGTCAAGGCTTCACATCCCATCCCGACTGTTGACTGTCGCTTGCCGACATGGTTGGCCAGGATGCGCACCAAGTGGAGGATTTGGCAGCAAAAGAAGACAGCTGGAGTCTCGGCTCGCTGGCACCAGCCCAGTTTGCAACAAGCTGTCTCCACATGGTTAATTGCATGATATTGCATGGTGAGGCCGCGGTGAGCAAAGTGCTCTGGACAGGGCCCCCGTCACAGCTGGCTGTTGCTGTATTTTTGGATCAGAGAGCGTCTATCAAATTGGCATTGCATGTGAGCTTCATACCACCTGTTCCGCTTGGTGAGTGGCGGGAAGCAGGTGCCAATAGTGGAGCGACTGCCGCGGTCTGCACATGTGTGGGTCCTCAGCCATCCGCGACTGCTCCGACATGCCGACACATTGCCGAGATGTTCCACCTGTGCACTTGTGCACGGCCTCATAAGGAAGAAGCTTGGGGTTTCGGCCGGACATCGCAAAGTCGGTCAGGACAGCTCGCATGTTTGGATTAGTGCTCGCAGATGTTGCATCATTCGCCGATCTGGTCACGCATCCAGGGCCCAGCACGCAGCTCGTTCTGGTCAATGCCAGCAGCGTCAAGCGGGATGCAAAACCCGGTCAGGGTGACAAGCTGTTGCTTAACCGCAGCTATGCTGTTAACGACTGGACTATCCTCACCAGTTTATTCTTAGGGCATCAGAGGTGCAGCACTGGAGTGGCTTTTCTGCATCGAGGCTGGATCATGAACGCGCCTTCGAGCGAGCACTTATGTCGGGCTCCGATGCAAGCAGAGAGGTGGGACGGGAAAAGCGATGAAGCATGAACGCAGATGTGTGATATGACTTTCGTTGCACTTATAGATCTTATAGCCCATGTGGAGGTTGTTCGGATGCACGAAGCAGCTCAGCAACTCGCATGATTTGACCCTGTCATTGTGGCTTCATTCGTTATGCCAGGTACACATGATGGTGGCTGACCATTATCTGCAGGACTACTACAAGCACACAAGTACAACCACAACCACGACCACCACCACGACAACTAACACCACCACGACCACGAGCACAGTCAAGAAATACTACAAGAACTCGACTGGGTCTGCCATTGACTCCAGTTGGAAAAGCAAAAGAACACGAAGAACCACGACAAGCACAACCACAACGACAACTGTGGCGCCAGTGGATGAGGCAAGGTAGGGATGGGGGATGGTCGGTTGCGCTTTGACGGCTGGGGCTGGCAGTTCCCACTGCCACCAGGTGCTGTTGACCAACGTCCCCGCGATCAAGGCGGTCCCTGTTTTGCTGGACTTTGGTCGTGTGTCCGAACTAGCGGGGAAGGAGCGGAAGATTAGCGGTGACTTGACAATGCTGATGTTGCTTCGCGGTCTTCCGAGGTGGCTAGACTGCCCAGTGTCGTTGCAAGCACTCCAGCTTTCCACTAGCGGACAGGATCGGAAGCAAGAAGCGTTTTGTTGCAGCCAGAGTACAGTAGCTGCCGCCGCTGTGTAGCTCCGATGAGGTTTGGTGAGTTCTGCCTGGAGCATCCTGGAGCTGGCACAACGACATGTTAGACATGTCTGTTTACAAACTGTAGTATAAAGAAGAGGCATGCAAAGAGCTGCAGAATGCTAAATGCTTGTATACTGCGCATATCGTGGTGCAGGCTATGAGTCACACGTGTTGCAGCATCCCCTCATACACTCTGCCTCTGACAGTCCAGCACGCACTGCAGTCCTAAACGCTAGGTTGGCGAGAGCAATGAGACCGATGAAAATCTGTCCTTTGCGCCACCGCCCCCACCGCTCTTGGCAGCCGCTGCCCCGGGCCGAAGGTTTTAGTCGTCGGGGTCAGGGGATGTTTAGGGTTTAGGCTGCTGGCTCAAGCTTCCGGGGCTGGGGGCTTGGCAATACCTGTAGCTTCAAGATTTCGGGCTCAGATCTTAGCATCTCCTTTGCTAGGCAGGTTTTACTGGGTTGTCTTGCGTAGTGTGAGGCGGTATATTTTTTGAGAATGTACTTTGATATATCGTGTGTAGAGCTACCGTGCTTGAGAAGACAAGCCGAACGGTCTTGACATCCGATCACCGCAAGCCGTAGAACTCTAAGTCCAAGTCGTGTCCAGGAGGAACTGTCTAACGAGCGATCGAAGAGGCTGGTGCCGCAGGCCGGAGTTGATACTGCCAAATCCAAATGTTTATCAGGATTACTCGTGCCAGCGTTGCTGCAAGAGCCTTACACACATTCGAGCCATCACATGTCAGCACCCTGAAAGGATTTCACGAAGGACGTGCTGGACAAGGCTCGGGATTTGGGGATAATGCCAGTCTGCTGGCACACTTGCACCTGCAACAAGACATGAACATGCACATGTGTCGGCTTCCCCTCAGCACATCCGTTCGTGAGGGCAGAACTTTTTGCAGGGGAGCCCTGGTGGCACTTGGTCGCCAGCAACCTTCTCTGCAGCTCGACTGGCATGTCTCCAGTTCGTGTCGATAGACCGCATTGTGCCTGCTCCGTGCTGCTTTCTCAGGCAGAAGACGCCGCAGCCGCAGCTAGAGCTACCGAAGGTCGCTGCAGGGTCTGCCCTGCTGAGCATCCGTGGCGCAAACATGTCGTAACAGAGTCAATTCAAGTTTCTGCGGTCTCTCGACATGGGAGGTAGCGAGGACGTCACCAGCACCTCTTCTACCTCGCCCGTGACCAGCACCTCTTCTAATGCCACCACGAGCACCACCTCTGAGACCCCGCACCCTTCCACAACAGCGAGCAGCGCATCAGAGACCCCTACGACCATCACGACGACGGCGGTTCAGATCCTCGCCAGCGAGCCGCTCGTCAAGGAAAGTCGGGATGCCGGGGAGCTCGCGGAGGAGGCGCGGGCCAAAGAGGAGGCCCTGGCGAAACAGAGCACCAGCTGGGGCCTCACAGGCGCTGTCCGGGAGCTGTGAGTTTGGGCAGGGGATGCGTGCCACTGAGGCACAGAGCCAAGCGACAGTGACGAGGACCCAAGCAGGGTGTGCTCAAGACAACGGATCTGCCCTCTGTGATACAGGGCTACGGAGCGAGGTATGTGCACCGCACCTCATTAGGTCAAGAGCAGAGATCGTACTGTCGTAGGAGGCACAAACGGTCAACCAAGATTTATTCAAAGCCGACGGTTAGGAGCAGGTAAGAGAGCCTTTATAAATCATCATCTTCAGGATGAGGAGAGCGAGGACTCTTCGTCGGCCGAACAGAAAACCGAGGTGGCGCTGGTCTTGCTGGTTGTGTTGTATGGAGAAGCAAACAACAGTATGATCACAAACATAGACGATTTCTACGACTGCTATACAACTACTGGTACCACACTTACGGCACCTGCCACACTTGCTACAACCACCGACTACCTGCTGGCTATTGCCAACCTCTCACCTCTCTCCTAACTCCTATCGACCACCCACCTCCCTCTCTCCCTGCCTACCTGCCTCCTGCCTCCTGCCTACCTACCTACCTACCTACCTGCCTACCTGCCTGCCTGGTACCTGCCTACCGACCTACCGACCTCCACCTCCTGTCTCCCACCTCTTCCTGCTCCTGCTCCTCCTCCCTCCTCCTGCAGTAGTAGTAGTAGTAGTAGTAGTAGTAGTCGCAGTAGTAGCAGTAGCAGTCGCAGTAGTAGCAGTAGCAGTAGCAGTATAAGTAGCAGCAGTAGCAGTAGCAGTAGCAGTAGCAGCAGTAGTAGTAGTAGTAGTAGTAGTAGTAGCAGGAGTAGTAGTAGTAGTAGTAGTAGTAGTCGTAGTCGTAGTAGTAATCGTAGAAGTCGTCGTCGTAGTAGTAGTAGTAGTAGTAGTAGCAGCAGGAGTAGTAGTAGTAGTAGTAGTAGTAGTAGTAGCAGCAGCAGCAGCAGCAGCAGCAGCAGTAGTAATAGCACTAGTAGTAGTAGTAGTAGTAGTAGTACTAGTAGTAGTAGTAGTAGTAGTAGTAGCACCAGCAGTAGTAGTTGTTGTAGCTACCCCGAACATTAAAGCATGTTTTGCTGCGACTGCATGCGTGCCGGGCTATAAAAAAGCGGGGG